TGCGATGTGTAAACATCGCCACTCGGGAGACAAAGGCGGCCGGGCGTGGTTGCTGGCCACCCACCCCCTCGTGTGCCGTGCCGGCCTGCATAGGTGCTCACCCCCACAGTCTGTTCAAGGCTACACGGGGGATCTTTGTCTGTTGTGTGTGATTGTGAATTTGTCTCTGCGGGCCCCGCGCAACCTGGTGAAGGCTGTGCGGGGGAGCTTTGTCTCTGATGTCTACGGTGGGTCGGAGGTCACTGGCGAGGGGGGTCACAGGCGAGGGGGTCACTGGGGAGGGGGGTCACAGGCGAGGGGGGTCACAGGCGAGGGGGGGAGTGATGACATCCCCCACTACAGCAACCACTTCCAGGTGAGCTGAGAAGCCGAGCCATTCATTTAAATGGGAATGTGCCCCGTGGACATACAGCCCCCATTACCCCTACCCCCTTATCGCCCTACCCCCTTCCCTCACTACCCCCCACCCCCCATCACCTAACATCCCCACCCCCCATCACCTCACCCCCCCACCCCCCATCACCTAACCCCCCCCACCCCATCACCAAATATCCCACAAGGCGTCAGGTTCGGGATCGAAGTCTCGGCCGCCTGCTGCTCACCGGGGGAGGTAGCCAACATCCCCGCCGCAAGTGCAGTCCGCGCGTTCAACTTCTCTCGCACCGCACGTAGCCAAGCGGAGGTGCGGCGCGCTAACCATCGCGCCACCGCTCCTCGCATGAACAGTCCGGTGAGCAGCCAACTCGTGCCGACACCGCCCCGGTACACACCGCCCCCCCCCCACCCTCCCCCCCACCCCCCCACGGGGTCTCGCAGGAAACTCCTGGGCGTGTGAACGGAACACGCGCGGCACTCTGGACGCGGATGCAAGCTCCCCCACGTCTCCTACGCACACACCAGCACCCCCCCCATCATCATCTACCCCCCCCTCAACCCAGCCCCCCCCCCTCAACCCAGCCCCCCCCCTCAACCCAGCCCCCCCCCTTCAACCTAGCCCACCCCCCTCTTCAACCCAGCCCCCCCCTTCAACCTAGCCCCCCCCTTCAACCTAGCCCCCCCCTCAACCCAGCCCCCTTGGGTTCGATCCCGACCCTGACGCCTGCTGCTGTATATTTGGAGTTTGCGTGTCGCTCTCTCTCATCATCATCACGATGGCTATGAGATGTTAACTACCTCGCCTGGTGTACAGGGGGCCGTGGGTTCGATCCCGACTCTGACGCCTGCTGCTGCTATATTTTTGGAGTTTGCGTGTCTCTCTCTCTCTCCCCGTGGTCGCGTGGATTTTTCCTCCGGGGGTCCTCCGGTTCTTACCCCTCCACATTTACAATCAACCTCACGCGTTCAGAGTATACGGCTGCAGTGAACTTCCACGTGATGAACCACTCCGTTGGGCTATCATTTGTGGCGAGGTCGCTTCTGCAAGTTCCAAAATAAGCAGCGGGCATCAGGGTCGGGGGGATCGAACCCGCGACCTCCTCTGTGCCAAGTGTGTGGTTCCGGCACCCGCGTTGGCTACAATAACGACACCGTGATCTCGTTATCACGCAATATTTTATTTACGATTTATTACCTCCCCCGGCTTTGCAGAATACACTTGAATTCGTTGTTTAAAAAAAAAAACATACATTCTAAACAACAAACGTTCTATAAATATAAACTTTGTTCTTCAAAAGCATTTATACATTTTACTTTGCATATATATCAAAAATACTGCTACGCATTGTTGTCGTCTTTGAACTATGTCGTATGAATGATCGTCCGCTGCTGTGCAAACGGACGATGAAAATAAATCAGTCGTAAGCCTTTGTCTCGTGCGTACGCAGCAGTAGCAGCAGCAGCATCACCTGGCCCGGGCGATCGGCATTCAATCGAGACTCAACACATTGGCCCACAGAAACACCGCCCGTTGAGCGGAAGGTTCTGCAAACGGCCCGACTTCACGCGCCCGCGAAGGGTCGTCGCCCGAAACGTCGCCCCTTCCTTAAAGGGCGCCACGGCGGCTGTGAGATGTTAACTACCTCGCCTGGTCTACAGGAGGTCGTGGGTTCGATCCCGACCCTGACCCGTGCGACGCGTACGACGTTGCAAGGCGGCCTACGAACTTATCCGCTAATCTCAGGACGAACCATCGTGTGTCTAGGCCAGGGGTGGGGAACGTCCGGCCCGCGGGCCGTATGAGGCTCTCTGGCCCTGCCAAAGCAACCACAGGCGGGACTCGAAATTCAATAAATCTAGGAGAGCAAACCTGGAAAAGCAGTTGCGAGTAGCAACATCGTCAATAGCCAGCTAACATCACCAATACCAGCTAACATCGTCAATACCAGCTAACATCGTCAATACCAGCTAACATCATCAATACCAGCTAACATCACCAATACCAGCTAACATCATCAATACCAGCTAACATCATCAATACTAGCTAACATCATCAATACCAGCTAACATCATCAATACCAGCTAACATCATCAATACCAGCTAACATCGTCAATACCAGCTAACATCATCAATACCAGCTAACATCACCAATACCAGCTAACATCGTCAATACCAGCTAACATCGTCAATACCAGCTAACATCATCAATACCAGCTAACATCACCAATACCAGCTAACATCATCAATACCAGCTAACATCATCAATACTAGCTAACATCATCAATACCAGCTAACATCATCAATACCAGCTAACATCATCAATACCAGCTAACATCGTCAATACCAGCTAACATCGTCAATACCAGCTAACATCGTCAATACCAGCTAACATCATCAATACCAGCTAACATCATCAATACTAGCTAACATCATCAATACCAGCTAACATCGTCAATACTAGCTAACATCATCAATACCAGCTAACATCGTCAATACCAGCTAACATCGTCAATACCAGCTAACATCATCAATACCAGCTAACATCATCAATACCAGCTAACATCATCAATACCAGCTAACATCATCAATACCAGCTAACATCATCAATACCAGCTAACATCATAAATACCAGCTAACATCGTCAATACCAGCTAACATCGTCAATACCAGCTAACATCGTCAATACCAGCTAACATCATCAATAGCAGCTAACATCATCAATACCAGCTAACATCATCAATACCAGCTAACATCGTCAATAGCCAGCTAACATCATCACACGCCTCGCCAAAGAGAAGCAGTTCCAGCCATCGCATTAGGGAGGCGAGTTAATTAAATGTTTGACCAAATATAACAAAACTAATTTTTAAGTTGATCATTTTGTATGGCCCGCGAATGATGTTATAGATATCCAAATGACCCTTGGCAGGAAAAAAAAGGTTCCCCACCCCTGGTCTAGGCGATCATCGACGCAGCGATGGACTCTCGCGATTAACACGGTTGGCTACGTACGGTGAACAAAAGAAGTTAAACACACGTACGTTTTACATACATTGTGAGCCCCCTGCAGACAGTTATTTACTGTGGAATGTTCTAATCGCCACCACTACCGTCATCGCGGTGCCTGTGCCAGGCCAGGTGCACTTTGAGGCCACGTGAAGTGTCGAAGGCTCGCTGCTGACAGGAGGTCACGGGACAGCCCCAGGTGCCATGGGTTGGCTGACTGAGATGACTGGCAGATGCACCACCAGCTGTACCCACCACTGTGTAAAGTTGCTGCATTTTAGCCGCCCGGCACTCCGCTCCTTGTTGTGAGCGTCGCTCCTCTCCCCTCTGTGGTTGCTGGAGGGCGACTGCCTCCAAATGCTCACAGAGGCCGATCTTGACACCGCTGGCACCAATAATCGTCAAGTCCACTCAGCTCCACATCCTCCCGTACTGCATCAGCTCCATCTCTTCTCCAGCCTGTGCCGTGTCCATTTAGGCCCCTCTGCAGTCAAACAGAAGCTGCTTGAGCATGCGGTGGCTGGGCATGCGGGCTACGTGACCCAGCTAACGCAGCCTTGCCTGCCGGAGCTCACTGATGGGAATGTGTCTAGATCTCTCAAGGATTTGTGAGCTCCTCACACAATCCAGCCTGGTTAAACCCAGGATGGATCGTAGGCAAACCGGCCTTAATGTTTCTAACCGGCGCAGATGTTCCATTAGGGGGGTCCACGTTTCACAATCATAGAGAAGGGAGGGCATGAACATGGCTGAGAAGACCCGAAGCTTCGTGCCGAGCGACAGACTAGGTAGCTTCCACACAGCATCACGCAGCCGATGAAAAGATAATGCCGCCCGACTGATTCGGAGACCTCTGCTGTCAAACCGGAGCTGGTCATAAGCACACTGCCCAGGTATTGGAAACTCTCAACTCTCTCCACAACTGCCCCCTCACGAATGAGAAGCTGAGGGGGTGGAGTGTTTGGTGGCACAAAATACCCAGGCAGGTGCTTAGTTTTGGTGGGGCTGAAGGTGGCACACTCCAAGTAAGCAGCAATCACCAGATCATCAGCATACATAACATGGTTATCACCACCACTACAGCCAACACCAACACCACCACAATCACCAAAAGACAAGACAAAGATCCCCCGTGTAGCCTCAACAGACTGTTGGGGCAAGTGCTGTTAGCGAGCACCTATGAAGGCCGGAACGGTACACGAGGGGGTGGGTGGCCAGCACCACGCCCGACCGCCTTTGTCTCTCCCCAGTGGCGATGTTTACACACCACAACAGGTACTCATTTGAGGCTGAGTCGACTTAGAGGAGGCCCAGGATCAGTTCAGATAAACGTCACTGGTGTTGGCCGTGAGCGGGAACCGGGTCGCTGGGTTCGTAGCGCAACGCGCTAACCGCCGTTACCACCACCGCCATCGCCACCACCACCGCCACTACCACCACCGCCACCACCATCACCGCCGCCACCATCACCACCATCACCACCGCCATCACCATCACCACCACCACCGCCATCACCGCCGCCACCACCACAATCACTACCACCGCCACCACCACCATCACCGCCGCCACCGCCACCATCACCACCGCCACCGCCACCACCATCACCACCACCGCCGCCACCACCACCACAATCACCACCACCACCGCCGCCACCGGCCGAAGAACCGTCGCGCTGCGAGCGGCTCGACTCTTCGCCGTCGCCGGCGGCTTAGGCGGAGGCGAGGTGCAGCGACGCGGGCCTGGGCCTGGGCCTTCCCTCGAACGCGCCGTCGGAACGCTCGCTCGTCGACCGGGGCCGCCCGAACCGCACGGACAGACGGTGCTTGCCGCCACTGCCGCCACCGCCGAAGCTGTCCCCGCTGCCGCCCCAGCCCGAGCGGTGGTTCTTCCGTCGCCGCAGCGGAGACATCGACGAGTTGGAGGAGGATGCGGGCTCGTCCGCCCCGTGGCGGCAGGCGAGCTGGAGGAGGGGGGGTCCCGCCTGGGGAGGACCGAAGGCTTCGGGGTGGCGCGCGCGGTCGAGGTCGCGGGCGCTGCAGCGCGGCGTCGGTACCTTTTTTGGGGGGGCGAGACGCGCGGCAGGTGGAGCTGGGGGGGGCTGTGTGGTGGTTTTTTCCGTGTGTGTGTTTGTTTTTTAAGTTTCAGGCGTTTTAACGTTTCGCCGCTCTGGGTGCCTGACGTGCCGTGAGCGTTCGTTTCGCCGGTGCGGCGGCGTGACCGTAGACGAACTGAAGACGCGAGCCACGGGCGGGCGGCGGTGCGACGCAACCCGGACTCGTGGACCCGGCGTGGCGAGCCCGCTGGAGCCTTGCGCTCACGAACTCTCTCTCTGTCTCTCTCTCTGTCTCTCACTCTCTCTCTCTGTCTCACTCTGTCTCTCTCTCTGTCTCACTCTGTCTCTCTCTCTGTCTCTCTCTCTCTCTGTCTCTCACTCTCTCTGTCTCTCTCTGTCTCTCTGTCTCTCTCTCTCTCTGTCTCTCTCTGTCTCTCTCTCACGTGTGTGTGCACGTTGGACTCCTTTCGCACCGCACGTAAACCAAGCGTGCTGATCTGAGGTGCGGGGGAATGCTATTTACAAAAGGGATAATGAACACGAGGATTAAAAGGGGCACTTAACGGGTCATCCGCCGTGCGAGTCAAGAATGGATTCCCTTTCTCCGTGTACGTATGCTGAACTTCTTTCGCACCGTACGCAGCCCCAAACCGTGCTCATCCGAGGTGCGGCGGGTGTGGGGGGAGGACATCAAACTAAGCGCCCTCTACTGCTTCGTCTACTGGCACCGCAAGCCCAGCGCGGACCGATGCTGCTTCACCAGGACATTGGCACCTCCAGGCCGTTGTGCCCAGCCGGGATACATCTGTAGAGGTGTTAACTACGCGCTGTTGCGTAACCTGCATTGCCACCAGGGCGGTGCAGCATTACCCCTGGGTACAACGGTTGGGGTCAGTCGAGGTGAAACGGATCGTAGCCAGGGGTTGGTACGAACCAATCAGACGGTTCCACGTGGGAATGTATGATTGGTTCTGCCTGGCCACGAAGGGGTATAAGACGGGTGACCCAACGGACCTCGGGGAGTTCTCTCCCTGCACGAAGACAGAAGACTGGGCTGAAGCCTAGCTAGGACCCTGGACCAGCCTCCCAGCCCTTCTAAGGGCTAAGGCTCGGCATACCCAGTGGTCAGGACCCACCGGGCCAGCGGTGGGTCAGACAGCCTCCCCTAGGTCCTAGCCGGAGGACTAGGATAGCGGTAGACGTGTGAGTCCCGCCAAGTCCGGAGGTTGTACCTCCTTAGGTATCAAGGAGGTTAGCGGTAGACGTGTGAGTCCCGCCAAGTCCGGAGGCTGTACCTCCCTAGGGTATCGGGTGAGGGGACCGAATATCCCTCTGTGTGTGTTAAGCGTTGCATAAGGAAATAATACAATAAACAGAGTGTGCCTCCTAAAGAAGTCTGCTCGTCCTTACAACACTACACATCCATCAAAAAATCCCGATGGAGGGAAGCGGTGGGGAGGAGGCGGTGGTGGGATGCGAGGTCGAGGGGGGGGGGGAGTGGGTCAGGGAGGGTGAGCCAACCTCGAGCACACGTGCTTTAACTTTGAGCTAACTGCGGTTGACCTTGAGATAACCTCCGTCAAACCTTGGGCTAATTTGTGCTGCTATCTAGCTCACCTTGAGCTCACCTTGAGTTCACCCTTGAGCTCAACCCCTTGAGCTCACCTCGAGCTCACCTTGAGCTCACCTTGAGTTCACCCTTGAGCTCACCTTGAGTTCACCCTTGAGCTCACCTTGAGTTCACCCTTGAGCTCACCTTGAGTTCACCCTTGGGCTCAACCCCTTGAGCTCACCTCGAGCTCACCTTGAGCTCACCTTGAGTTCACCCTTGGGCTCAACCCCTTGAGCTCACCTTGAGTTCACCCTTGAGCTCACCTTGAGCTCACCCTTAAGCTCAACCCCCTTGCGCTCACCTCGAGCTCACCTTGAGTTCACCCTTGAGCTCACCTTAACCTCACTCTTGAGCTCGCCTTGAGTTCACCCTTGAGCTGACCCTTAAACTCATCCTCGAGCTTAACCCCTTGAGCTCACCTCGAGCTCACCGCGACCTCACCCTGAGTTCAAACCCTTGACCTCACCCTTGACCTCACCCTTGACATCAAGCCTAGAATCTCACGTGGTGCCCTCCCCCCCCCACCCCACCCCCACCCCAGCGCCACCGCCCCTCGAACCGCGAGCCGCCCGGCGCACCTTGACGGTGTTGCCGAACTTGGAGTAGTCGACGGAGTAGCGGCCATCCTCCTCCGTGACGACGCTCTCGAAGCGGTGACCCCACAGGATCTCGTCGGCCAGGTAGGAGGTGCGCGCCTGCGTGGTGATGCCCGTCGTCTCCACGATGCCCTCCAGCACCACCACCACCTCGACGTCGGCGCCGGGCAGCTCGGCGGCCGCCAGCGAGTAGAGGGGGCTGCGCGCGTCCAGCGTGTGGCTAACGATGAGCGGCGACACCAGGAAGATGCTGTTGGCGCCCACGGGGTTGTCCATCTGGATGTCCACCTGGTGCATGGGGATCACTTCGCCCTCCGACGTCGTCGTCTTGCAGATTACCTGTGGGGAGTCGGGGGGGAGGGGGAGGGGATGGGGGGGGAGGGTTCACGTCGCCAGGGCCTCCTCTTCACTTGTCGCTCGCGTTACGATTTGGGTGACGTTGGCACCGCCCCCTACACACACACACACTGGCACCCCCCCCCCTGCCCCCTACACACACACACTGGCACCCCCCCTGCCCCCCTACACACACACACTGGCACCCCCTGCCCCCCTACACACACACACTGGCACCCCCCCCCGCCCATCACACACACACACTGGCACCCCCCCCCCCTGCCCCCTACACACACACACTGGCACCCCCCTGCCCCCCTACATACACACACTGGCACCCCCCCTGCCCCCTACACACACACACTGACACCTCCCCCTGCCCCCTACATACACACTGACACCCCCCCTGCCCCCTACATACACACTGACACCCCCCCTGCCCCCCTACACACACACACTGGCACCCCCGCCCATGCCCCCTACACACACACACTGGCACTCCCTCTGCCCCCCTACACACACACACTGGCACCCCCCCTGCCCCCCTACACACACACACTGGCACCCCCCCCTGCCCCCCTACACACACAATAGCACCACCCCCTACACACACACACTGGCACCCCCGCTGCCCCCCTACACACACACTGGCACCCCCCTGCCCCCCTACACACACACACACTGGCACACCCCCCTGCCCCCCTACACACACAATATCACCACCCCCTGCCCCCCTACACACACACACTGGCACCCCCCTGCCCACACACACTGGCACCCCCATGCCCCCCTGCCCACCTGCCCCCCTGCCCACACACACTGGCACACCCCCCTGCCCCCCTGCCCACCTGCATGCGCACGCTGGCACTGATGATCATGCTCTTGCGCAGGTCGCCCACGCGCACCATGAAGCAGAGGCGCTTGTCACGCAGCGCCACCACGGCGTGCCGGCTGAAGATGAGCGTCTCGGCGCGCCGGTGCGCCTGGGCCGTCTTCATGAAGATGCAGCCCAGCATGACGGCGTTGGTGAGCAGGCCCACGATGTTCTGCATGATGAGCGCGCAGATGGCGCACGGGCACTGCTCCGTGATCATGCGGCCGCCGAAGCCGATGGTCACCTGCAGCGGCAGCGGCAGCAGCGTCAGCGGAGCGCCGTGCTGGTGGTGTTGGTGTTAGTGGTGGTGGTGGTGTTGTTGTTAGTGGTGGTGGTGGTGGTGTTGTTGTTAGTGGTGGTGCTGGTGGTGGTGGTAATGGTGGTGTTGTTGGTGGTGCTGGTGGTGTTGTTGGTGTTGGTGGTGTTGGTGCTGGTGTTGTTGTTGGTGGTGCTGGTGGTGGTGGTGTTGTTGGTGGTGTTGTTGGTGGTGTTGGTGGTGTTGTTGGTGGTGCTGGTGGTGGTGCTGGTGGTGCTGGTGGTGGTGGTGTTGTTGGTGGTGGTGCTGGTGGTGGTGCTGGTGGTGGTGGTGGTGCTGGTGGTGGTGCTGGTGGTGTTGGTGGTGTTGTTGGTGGTGTTGTTGGTGGTGGTGCTGGTGGTGGTGCTGGTGGTGGTGCTGGTGGTGGTGGTGGTGCTGGTGGTGGTGCTAGTGGTGGTGGTGCTGGTGGTGTTGTTAGTGGTGTTGTTAGTGGTGGTGCTGGTGGTGGTGCTGGTGGTGTTGTTAGTGGTGGTGGTGTTGTTGGTGGTGTTGTTGTTAGTGGTGGTGCTGGTAGTGTTGTTCATAGGTGCTACTCGCTCAACAGCACTTGCCCCAACAGTCTGCTAACACTACATGGGGGATCTTTGTCTGGCTGTGAGCTGGCTGCCTGTCTGTACAGGGGTAGATTTGTCCCGAAGATTACACGCCGCCGCAGGCAGCCATCATTTAAATAATGGAGGGGGGGGTGGCACGTGCCCCCCCAATGATCCAATCGAAATCCCTCATTTCGATCGGATCATTAGGGTTTATTAGTAATAAATGAGCATTTTGCGACCCCCACTGCCACTGTGTAGCAGATTATTAAGTGCCAGGGACTCTATGAGATGATAGGACAATAGTCTGACTTCATAATTGGCAGTAGGTAACGGCAAAGCGGTTATAAGTGACTCAGAATTGTGCGCAGTTGCGTCTACAGGACACGACTTCCTTGAAGGCATCGACACCTCCAGCGAGCGCGGTGCCGATCACACCACGCGGTTCGAACTCGACACCTCGCCATCGATCACACCACGCGGTTCGAACTCGACACTTTGACATCGATCACACCACGCGGTTCGAACTCGACACCTCGCCATCGCCGCACACGCGTCGGATAAAAAGCAAGGGACAACTCCTTACTTGCTAACAACTCATTACTTACTAACAAGTCCTTATTACTAACAACTCATTACTTACTAACAACTCCTTACTTATTACTAACAACTCATTACTTACTAACAACTCATTGCTTACTAACAACTCCTTGCTTACTAACAACTCCTTACTTATTACGAACACCTCATTACTTACTAACAACTCCTTACTTGCAACGCCTTACTTATTAATAACAACTCATTACTTACTAACAACTCCTTACTTACTACTAACAACTCCTTACTTACTAACAACTCCTCTATCATGTGTCATTGCTGGAGGGGTTGCCCCCCCCCCTCCCCGCCCGCTACCTGAAAATCCTGGCTCAGCAACATTGATTGAACGCATGCCCTCATGTGTCAGTGGTCACCCAGATCTGACACAGCCTAAAGCAGGCTGTGTCAGCCTGGTGAATTCGATGAGACATTGCCGGCTGTTGTAGGCTTTGTTGGGCTGCGATGTATCCCACAAAGAAACCTGTAAAGTCTTCTTTGGTTCCATTGGAAACCTCATTTGCCAGTAACAAAATATGATAATTGTTTTTTTTTACCCTTTTATCTGGCAACAAAACTGACACCTTTTTGCATACATGATCAGAGTTGTTTTTTGTTTGCGTTCCGACCGCAGGTATTGTGGTCAATGTAAACATGACTCCTTGTTAAAAAAAGGTGTCAGTTTTGTTGCCAGATAAAAGGGTAAGAAACCAATTATCTTCCTTGGTTCTTTCGGTAAAGTCACGTAGAATGATAATAAAATAATAAAATCAAATAAGACAATAAAATTCTCACGACGTTTCGGCCACAACACAAGTAGCCTTCTTCAGGTGAAGGAACAGAACTGTCGGGATGACAGAGCTTCAATGAACGCTGCTAAGATTCGTTGCGTCTTTTAAGCTGGGTGAGAGAAGTGAGGCACCTTGACAAAGGTGTTTATTGTATTATTTTAGTTTATTATTATTTTATTGTTATTTTATTCTCATTCTACGTGACTTTACCGAAAGAACCAAAGAAGATGAATCCTTGCAGTCACGAAAGCTTTAAATCGAAAATTAAACCAGTAAAGCCTATGCAGGGGACCTTTGTCCTTGGTGATGCTGCCAACTCGCGACAAATGTTCACGGGCCACCCTGCACCAAGAAATTAAAACAACTCATGCCACGCGGTGAGCAGATGAAGGTTTGTTGAACCTCTTTCGCGCCGTACGTAGCCAACCGTGCTAATCGGAGGTGCGGAGGAAGGACAGCAAACACTACAACACACACAAAAAGCAGTTTTATAGAATTGAGTTTTCAATCGAAATGATTTAAAAGATAGAGCCAAGAGAGCACCGCCACCACCACCGCCTCCGCCACCGTCATCACCGCCGTCATCACCACCACCACTTCCATCACCACCACCGCCACCGCCGCCACCGCCACCACCACTTCCATCACCACCACCAGCACCACCGCCACCGTCATCACTGCCGTCATCACCACCACCACTTCCATCACCGCCACCACCACCGCCGCCATCGTCACCGCCGCCGCCGCCGCCACTACCGCCACCGTCATCACCGCCGTCATCACCACCACCACTTCCATCACCGCCACCACCACTTCCATCACCGCCACCACCACCGCCATCACCACCACCACTTCCACCAGCACCACCGCCACCGTCATCACTGCCGTCATCACCACCACCACTTCCATCACTGCCACCGCCACCACCACCACCACCGCCACCGCCACCACCGCCGCCACCGCCGCCACTGCCGCCACTCGCCTGAACCTCGATGGAGAAGAGGAAGGCGGAGGTGAAGGAGCGCACGTCGGTGACGCACGGCGTGGGGCTGCCCGCGAGGTCTCCGTGCGCGAACGCGATGAGCCACCACAGCATGGCGAAGAGGAACCACGTGGTGAGGAAGGCCATGTTGAAGACGATGAGCGTGTTGGGCCAGCGCAGGTCCACCAGCGTGGTGAAGACGTCCTGCAGGAAGCGCCCTTGCTCGCGGATGTTCTTGTGCGCCACGTTGCAAGCGCCGCTCTGGGGGTGGCGGTGGGGGGTGGCGGTGGGGGGTGGGGGGGGGTGACCGCGTCGAACGGCCATCGTCGGGGTGCGCGGAACGTCGTACACGGAACGTGTTACACGGAACGCGTTACACAGAACGCGTTACACAGAACGCCTTACACAGGACGTGTTACACAGAACGTGTTACACGGAACGCGTTACACAGACCTGGCGCGGTGCAACTCCTCCGAGGCGGAACGGGCGACCGTGCCCAGCGGTCATCGTCGGGCGTGCTCTATCCGCAGCTGCATGAGGATGTCTCCCCCCCACCACCCCCCCCCACTACCCCCCCACAACCCCACTACCCCCCCACAACCCCACAACCACCGCCATCGTCTCTCGCGATCGCCGCGAGCCAGTGGGCCGCGTCCAGGTCACGACGACGCCCTCGCCGTGAAAATCAAAAAAATTCTCCCGAGTGAGAAACTCTCTCCACTTTTCTCTTCATCGCATCTCGCTTACATCCACCGCTTGACGTCGATTCGTCGCGCAGCGGCCTCGCCTCTTGCTCTGCTCGGTCATCCCCTGTGGCTCCGTGACCCCCCCCCATCCCCCTTGGTGCGCTTCGCCTGCTGGGATGGGGATGGTCGCGCTGGTCGTATTTTAGTCGCGCGTTTGGGGGATTTTGCATTACCCTCGCTTGTGCTTTGCGCTCCTGTCGTGATTTGTGTTTGTTTTGCACTGTGTCTGTCGCTTCACAGCTCGTCGCAATTCCCCCTGCAGGATGAGTAAATATTCTGATTCCGTAACCGCTTCCCCCCTTCAGCTGTGATGGCGCGCTGACAAGAAATGCCGGCTGATTCGACCGGCGGTCGAAGCTTCACACGAACGGATTTAACGCCGGACGCCATCATCCGCGGCCGCCTTCCCTTATGAAGGAATTAATTTAGCGGATGAGCGAAGCGTGCATCTCCTCCACGAGGGTATGGACGACTCAATGAATGAATGAATGAACGGTCGACCTCCTCTGGAAGGGAACGAATGAGTTCACGGAATTTCTTCGATACGAATGAATGACTGATGCACCTTCCCTAAAGTGTATTGAGTGAATGTCCGAACCAACAACCTTCTCTATTAGGGAATTAATAAAAATCAGCATCTTTATCCCGGAGAAATCCAAACTCAGTTCATGACATGTCTTCATTAGGAACGAATGATTCACGCACCTTCCCTTCAAGGGATTGAGTGAATTAATTAACATGTCCAGGGACTCCTCTACTTACGAACGGGTGAGGTTCCTAGAGGTACTGTTCGTAAGTCGATTCGTACATAAGTCCATTCGTTCGTAAGTCGATTCGTTCGTAAGTCCATTCGTAAGTAGATTCGTTCGTAAGTCGATTAGTTCGTAAGTCCATTCGTTCGTAAGTCCAACTTTACTCCCGTCGATTCCAAACACCTTGTACGGCGTTCTACACTAAACACGGGGAATGGCTTTAAAAGTTGTATAATCTCCTGCAGATGTAGATGCCACTGGTTCTTCATCTGCACATTCTTACGAATCTCGGTCCGAACAGGCAACTGGACATACGGGACAGGGTTTGTTCGTTCTAGATTTGAAGCTTTCGTGACTGCAGCAATCCATACTCTTTGGTTCTTTCGCTAAAGTCACGTGGGTAGAAAAATATAATAAAACAAATCACGACGTTTCGATCGCAACACAAGCGGTCCTCATCAGGTGGGACAGCCACAGCAAGAAACAACTGCTGAGGAAGGCGAAAGAACCAAAGAGTAAGGTTTGTTCGTGTCTCCGAAACTTCGTAGGTCGAATGTTCGTAAGTAGAGCAGTAACCTGCACCTTCCCTGTAAGGGAACGAGTGAACCGAGTATCGCCCCATGCGAATGATCGACTCGCTCACCTTTTCTCTGCGGCGACAGATCCGAGCGAATGAATGAGAGTGAACGAGCGAGTGAGCGAGCGATGGAGCAGGGCACCTTCTCAATAAAGCGGGCACGCCGTGGCCGCGTGCTGTAGCGTGGCAGGCGTGCATACTCCTCCGCCAGCCTCGCCAAGAGGAACTCCTCCGGGATGATGCTCTCCCGCGCCAGCATCGTTCCTGCGGTTGCACCACCACCACCATCATCATCGTCGTCATCACCACTACAGCCATCATCACCACCATCATCGTCATCAACGTCATCATCACCACTACCACCATCATCGTCATCACCACTACAGCCATCATCACCACTATCTTTGTCATCAACGTCATCATGACCACTACCACTACAGCCATCATCACCACCACCACCATCATCGTCATTACCACTACAGCCATCATCACCACCATCACCGTCATCACTGTCATCATCACCACTACCACTACAGCCATCATCACCACCACCAACATCATCGTCATTACCACTACAGCCATCATCACCACCATCTTTGTCATCAACGTCATCATCACCACTACCACTACAGCCATCATCATCACCACCACCATCGTCATCACCACTACAGCCATTATCACCACCACCACCATTATCGTCATCAACGTCATCATCACCACTACCACCATCATCGTCGTCACCACTACAGCCATCATCACCACTATCTTTGTCATCAACGTCATCGTCACCACTACCACTACAGCCATCATCACCACCACCACCATCATCGTCATTACCACTACAGCCATCATCACCACCATCACCGTCATCACCGTCATCATCACCACTACCACTACAGCCATCATCACCACCACCAACATCATCGTCATTACCACTACAGCCATCATCACCACCATCTTTGTCATCAACGTCATCATCACCACTACCACTACAGCCATCATCATCACCACCACCATCGTCATCACCACTACAGCCATTATCACCACCACCACCATTATCGTCATCAACGTCATCATCACCACTACCACCATCATCGTCGTCACCACTACAGCCATCATCACCACCATCTTTGTCATCAACGTCATCGTCACCACTACCACTACAGCCATCATCACCACCACCACCATCATCGTCATTACCACTACAGCCATCATCACCACCATCACCGTCATCACCGTCATCATCACCACTACCACTACAGCCATCATCACCACCACCGACATCATCGTCATTACCAGTACAGCCATCATCACCACCATCTTTGTCATCAATGTCATCATCACCACTACCACTACAGCCATCATCATCACCACCACCATCATCATCATTACCACTACAGCCATCATCACCACCATCTTTGTCATCAACGTTATCATCACCACTACCACTACAGCCATCATCATCACCACCACCAACATCATCGTCATTACCACTACAGCCATCATCACCACCATCTTTTTCATCAACGTCATTATCACCACTACCACTATAGCCATCATCACCACCACCATCGTCATCACCACTACAGCCATCATCACCACCATTATCGTCATCAACGTCATCATCACCACTACCACTACAGCCATCATCATCACCACCACCAACATCATCGTCATCACCACTACAGCCATCATCACCACCATCTTTGTCATCAACGTCATTATCACCACTATCACTACAGCCATCATCACCATGACCATCATCATCGTCATCACCACTACAGCCATCATCACCACCATCATCGTCATCAACGTCATCATCACCACTACCAATACAGCCATCATCACCACCACCACCAACATCATCATCATCACCACCACCATCGTCATCACCACTACAGCCATCATCACCACCACCACCATCATCACCACTGCAGCCATCATCACCACCACCATCGTCATCACCACTACAGCCATCATCACCACCATCATCGTCATCAACGTCATCATCACCACTATCACTACAGCCATCATTACAACCACCAACACCATCGTCATCACCACTACAGCCATCATCACCACCATCATCACACCACCAGCACCACCACCAATAACACCACTAACAACAACACCACCAGCACCACCAACAACACTGCTAACAACACCATCATCACCACCACCATCGTCATCACCACTACAGCCATCATCACCACCATCATCGTCATCACCGTCATCTTCACCACTACCACTACAGCCATCATCACCTCTACCACTACAGCCATCATCATCATCATCACCACTACCACCATCATCGTCTTCACCACTACAACCATCATCACCACTACAGCCATAATCACCACAGCCATCATCACCACCACCATCATCGTCATCACTACAGCCATAACCACCACCACTACAGCCATCATCACCACCATCATAGTCATCACCACTACAGCCATCTCCACCACCACTACAGCCATCACCTTCATCATCCCCACCGGCGCCGTCATCACCATCACCACCACCATGAACACCATCATCATCACCACTACCACCATCATCATCACCACTATCATCCCCACCAGCGCTGTCATAACTATTATCACCATCATCACCATTAGCCCCATCACTACCACCATGACCACCACCATCACCATCACCATTAGCTCCATCACTATCACCATGACCATCACCACCACCATCATCATCACCATCAGCTCCACCACGGGTCCCCCGGGGTTAGGCATCAGGTCTGCATTAGCCACACACCCCTGTGGCAAAACATGCAAACGAAAGTGTGGTGAACGCAAAGTCGCTGCACTGAAAAAGCGACCTGTTTGGTGTTCCAATATCTCAACGCCTTCTCAGTTGTATTGCCAGGAAAAGCGGTACAACCCCATTGTTATGTTTCCGTCATTTTTTTGTACAGTACTGGCAACAATAACAACAACAATGTCCCACAGCAATAAACATTCTTATTATTGGTTCTTTCGGTAAAGTCACGGAGAAGGAAAATAATAAAATAATAAAAATAAAACAATAAAATAAAATTCTCAAGGACATGCGGCCACAACGCAAGCAGCCGTCCTCAGGTGAAGAAACAGTGCCGTCGGAAAGACAGCGTCCTAATGAACACTGCTAAGCTTGGCAGTGAACACTGCTAAGCTTGTCTTGACAGTGAACACTGCTAAGCTTAGCAGTGTTCATTAGGACGCTCTGTTCTTCACCTGAGGACGGCTGCTTGCGTTGTGGCCGAAACGTCCTTGAGAATTTTATTTTATTCTGTTTTATTTTGTATTATTTTATTATTTCCCTTCTACGTGACTTTACCGCAAGAACCAAGAATATGAATCCCTGCAGTCGCGAAAGCTTTCAATCGAAATCATTCTGATTCTCTGAAGAAAAATGCCACCCCTCCGCGTCTGTGGCCGTTCGTCGGCGTCGGCATCTCGCTGTCTCCTCTCCTCTCTAGCCCCGCTCTGTACCAGCGTGCACGGCACCCTCCTCGTGTTCACCTTCTGAAGCGCTCGCTCGTCACCGTGACGTACGCGATGACCACCACCACCACAACCACCACCACAACCACCACCACCACAACCACCACCACCACAACCACCACCACAACCACCACCACAACCACCACCACAACCACCACCACAACCACCACCACGTGGCTTTTATTTCGTGTTGTGCGCGGCGCATTTAGCGCCACCACAGCGCGTGGATTTATAGCGTTTGCTTGTGTTGCTGGTGACTTTGTTTATTTGTGTTGCTGGTGACTTTGTGTATTTGTGTTGCTGGTGACTTTGTGTAGTTGTGTTGCTGGTGACTTTGTAAGTTTCATATCGGAGTCGCCTCCGGCGCTGTTGCTGCTGGCGGCAATAAAAGTTGTTTAAGTTCAACAAGTCTCTCTCTCTCCCCTCTTTCTCATCTCTCTTCTCTTCTCTCTATCTCTCTCCCCCCTCTCTCTCTCCCTACTCTCTCTCCCCTCTCTCCTCTCTCTCCCCTCTCTCTCTCTCCCCACTGTGCACTCGCGCGAACCGTTCGGTACCCAAGGGGTGTCGGCGGCGTTCCATCGGCGGACAAAAATAGTCGTCCCGTCGCGCAATTCACTCGGGAGCGAGCGGCGGTCCGCACGGCAACGGTAGTTTTTTTTTGGCAACGTTTGTCCTCACCCCCCCCCCCCCCCCCCAGAAGATTTAAACGACGCTCAGAAACGTGTGAGAAGCGTGCTCGCTCTATTGTGCATTTTGCAACAACAACAAAGAGACCCATCGGCATTGCCTTTAGAAGTGCATTGCGTTTAAGAGGACGCCACGGTGGCTGGGGAGATGTTAACTCCCTCGCCCGGTATACAGGAGGTCGTAGGTCGAATCCCAACCATGACGCCTGCTGCTGTGTATTTGGAGTTGGCATGTCTCTCTCTCTCTCTCATCATCATCACGGTGGCTCGGGAGATGATAACTACCTCGCCTAGTATACAGGAGGTCGTGGGTTCGATCGCGACCCTGACGCCTGCTGCTGTATATTTGGAGTTTGCGTGTCTCTCTCTCTCTCATCATCATCATGATGGCTAGGAGATGTTAACTCCCTCGCCCGGTATACAGGGAGGTCGTGGGTTCGATCCCGATCCTGACGCCTGCTGCTGCTGTATATTTGGGAGTTTGCGATGTCTCTCTCGTTTTCCCTCCCCGTGGTCGCGTGGATTTTTCTCCGGGTTTCCCCTCCACATTTATAATAAACATCACGCGTTTAGAGTATTTGGCTGCTATGAATTTCGACGTGATGATGATCATGAGCCACTTCCGTTGAGCTATCGTTTGTGATGGCCAGGTCGCTTCTGAAAAGAGTTATGTAGCAGCTCAGTGGGGCCTTACCTGGTAAAAACTAGAAAAAAATGTTTATAGTTTAGTTTAAAATATTGCAGTGGAATCGACTTTGCCAGATGCCCTCCCCCCCCCCAAAAAAAATGACAGGCGGCAGGCACGAACCCCCAGATAACTTAACATCAATTTTGTTGCTGGCTTTTACAACGCGAGTCTCTGTACAAATACGGGACGCGTCTGTGTTTAATGTTCACGTTGGTGCCCCTCGCGAGATTTTCCACGGCGAAGAGATGAACGTATTCTGGTGTTTGTAATCTGTATTTACCGAATGTATATGTATGTAAGACTGGCTTTGCGTGTGTGTGTGTGGGGAGCGGTAGTGTAGTGGTTAGCGCTACGTTGCGCTACGAACCTGGCGACCCGGGTTTGATTCACGCTCACCGGTCCTGCGCCTCCCCTAGGTCGACTCAGCCTCAAACGAGTACCCGGTGCGGTGTGTAAGCATCGTCACTGGGGAGACAAAGGTGGCCGGGCGTGGTGTTGTCCACCCACCCCCTCGTGTGCCCGTGCCGGCCTTCATAGGTGCTGCTCGCTAGCAGCACTTGCCCCCCAACAGTCTGTTATTACAGGCTACACGGGGGATCTTTATAGGGGGTACAGCTGGTGGTGCATCTTCCAGCCATCTCAGTGAGCCAACCCATGGCACTTGCGAGGTCTGTCCCGTGACCACCTGTCACGTGGTAGCCTCAAAGTGCACGTGGCCTGGCACAGGCGCCGTGGTGACGTCACAGTAATTTAGTGGCGAACGGCAGGGCTATTTGTGTTGGTATGGAGTGCTGTGTTAAAGTGAATACTGTGTCAACGCACTGAGATGTATTAAACGCCAAACTTGGTGATGTTTGTTTAACACGTAGGCTATCGCGACCAGTATTATTCGTAATATAAAGGCTTTTTGTTTAGATCGCGATCTCACCCAAAAGCCTTTAATTGTTAATTGGTGATGTTTTATAGGGTCTCTCGCTCGTCAACGACCACGCGAGATCTTGAATTGCTAAGCGGGCCCAGGTCTGGATAGTGTTTGCGAGTTTCAATATTTGGCGATGATGCTGCTGCTCCGTCATGCAGGTATTTTTTTTTGGCGGGGGGTAGGGGGGGGAGTGGTTAGGTCGCGTAAATATAATGATGTGCCGTTAAACCCGCCACCACCCGACACGGCCAATTGCCAAGGTTGTGTCACGTAAACAGAACGTGGCCCAATTCGTTAGGGGCCATGCATTTAGTAGGTACGCAAAAATCTGTCAAAACCTGACCCCCCCCCTCCACCTGCGTACGTACGCCTGACGTACCCCCCCCCCCCCCCACCGAATCCTATAGAACGTCCGATATTTAATCCACGCAGAAACGATCAAGGATTAATAATATTCACGTGTTTCAGCAAACAGATCGTCCACCGCCGCACTATCTAACTCATTTGAAGGCCAGTGTAGACAAATTATTATCGAGGCTTCACCAACCCCCCCGCCCTCCTCCCCCCGTTTCCTATGCGCCCATTGTTGGTAGACCCCCCATACGCAAGCGTACACATTTGGGTGACCCCCCCCCTCCCCCCTCCATGCCTACGTACTGAATGGATGCCCCCTACGAGTACAGCACCACCGCTGTGTGGGGAGAGTATACCCACAGCATTTACAATTATGAGTACGGCGTCTCGCCAGAGAAGTACAAGCGGCACCATCAGGCCCGTACTCAAACAGAGCGGTGGATGTGATGGCGTGGCTTGTGACGACACGCTGCTGCTGCTGCTGCTGCGTTAGCAGTGGTGAAGGACGCAACAGCATATTCTGACTTTACCGAAAGAGCTAAGAATATATATTCTTGGTTCTTTCGGTAAAATCACGTTGATAGAAAATAAAAAAATGCAATTAAAATTCTCTCCGCCTGATGAAGACCGCTTGTGTTGCGATCGAAAAGCCGTGGTTCTTTTATTTTTCTATTTTTCTCTCTACGTGACTTCACCGAAAGAACCAAGAATATGAATTCTTGCAGTCGCGTAGAGTTTTAAGTCAAACTTTTTTGTTTGCAACAACATACTCGTAAACAACACGTGTGTTTGAAATATGCGAACCGTGCTTGCGTAGACAACGTTTCAGTGAAAACGGCCCCATCATCGCGGCTCATTGAGGAGGCCAGAGAGGGTGATGTGAAGAAGGCACGTCGCTCGAAACGTCGCCTATCGCATTACTTTTCCGTTTCACGGCGCATTTGTGGAGTTTTTTTTGGTTTGCACTGCGCTATGATTGACGATTATCGTGTAAAGATGAACTTCTTTCGCACCGTACCGTAGCCAACCGCGCTACTCAGAGGTCCGGTGGAAGGACAACAAACTAAAGACAAAAATCAGTTGTAAAGAAATGAGTTTGTCAATCTAGACGATTATTTAAAATCGAATAGCTCCCAGTGGGCCTCCTAACATCGGAAGGGAGAGCGTTCCAGACGTCCGCAGAAGCGCATCTGAAAGCGCCGCGCGATGATGATGACGATGATGACTATGGTGATGATGACGATGACGACGATAATGGTGATGATGATGACGATATGGTGATGATGATGACGATGATGATGCGGTGACCACCGCCGTCTTTTTTCGATGGCTGAGCCCAAAAGCCGCCGCCGTTGCTGCTGCGAGGATAATGATGACGATGGTGATGATGGTGGCAGGAGGTCACGGGGCAGACCCAGGTGCCACGAGTCGACTGACTGAGATGACTGAGACGACTGAGACGACTGGCTGATGCAGCAAGAACCAGCAGCAGCGCGACACACACACAAACTCACTTACACACAGACTCACACACAGACTCACACACACAAACACACACAGACTCTCACACACACAGACACACACATACACAGACTCACACACACAAACACACACAAACTCACTTACACACAGACTCACACACAGACTCACACACACAAACACACACAGACTCACACACACACAGACTCACACACACACACAGACACATACATACACAGACTCACACACACAAACACACACAAACTCACTTACACACAGACTCACACACACACAGACTCACACACACACAAACACACACACAGACTCACACACACACAGACTCACACACACACAACACACACACACACAGACTCACACACACAGACTCACACACACATACACAGACTCACACACACACAGACTCACTCACACACAGACTCACTCACACACAGACTCACACACACACAGACTCACACACACAGACTCACACACATACACAGACTCACACACACACATACACAGACTCACACACACACAAACTCACTCACACACAGACTCACACACACACAGACTCAAACACACACAAACACACACACAGACTCACTCACACACAGACTCACACACACACAGACTCACTCACACACAGACTCACTCACACACAGACTCACACACACACAGACTCGCACACACAGACTCACACAAACACACACACAGACTCACTCACACACAGACTCACACACATACACAGACTCACACACACACAGACTCACTCACACACAGACTCACACACATACAGACTCACACACAGACTCACTCACACACAGACTCACACACACATACACAGACTCACACACACAGACTCACACACAGACTCACACGCACAGACTCACACACACGTACACAGACTCACACACACACAGACTCACACACACAGACTCACACACACACAGACTCACACAAACACACACACAGACTCACTCACACACAGACTCACACACATACACAAACTCACACACACACACAGACTCACTCACACACAGACTCACACACATACAGACTCACACACAGACTCACTCACACACAGACTCACACACACATACACAGACTCACACACACAGACTCACACACAGACTCACACACACAGACTCACACACACATACACAGACTCACACACACAGACTCACACACACACAGACTCTTACACACACAGACTCACACACACAGACTCACACACACAGACTCTCACACACACAGACTCACACACACACAGACTCACACACACACAAACACCACACAGACTCACACACACACAGACTCACTCAACCACACACACAGACTCACACACACACAAACACACTACTAAAGACGCCCACACAGACAAAGGTCACCCGCGTAGCCTGCGAGAGGCTTGTCGCGACACGCTCACCGTCACTTCTCGAGACGCGCGCTCGATCCCCGTTCACCGCATCCTCGGAGTCGGGGGAGGAACGACGACTCGAGCTGAGACTCCGCTACTCCCGGCGACTCTCCGCGGTCCTTGCGAGCGGCACCCCCCCCCCCCACCCTCTGGCTCCCCCACCTCGCCCCCTCCCCTCTGGCTCCCCCACCTCCCCTCCCCCCACCGACACTGACCCCGTCAAGGGGACCCGCGGAGTCCCGAGCGGGGGTCGCCTGATCGGGACCCAGCAGCCATCGAGGGCAGAGGCGAGGACGAGGAGGACAACTCGCGTTGCGCGGCTGCTGCTACTGCTGTTACTACTGCTCCTGCTACTACTGTTGCTGCTCCTGTTGCTACTACTGCTGCTGCTCCTGCTAATACTGCTGCTGCTACTGTTGCTTCTACTACTGCTGCTACTACTGCTCCTGCTAATACTGTTGCTGCTCCTGTTGCTACTACTGCTGCTACTACTGCTGCTGCGACTACTGCTGCTACTACTACTGCTGCTACTACTGTTGCTGCTCCTGTTGCTACTACTGCTGCTGCTCCTGCTAATACTGCTGTTACTGTTGCTACTACTACTGCTGCTACAAACTGCTCCTGCTAATACTGTTGCTGCTCCTGTTGCTACTGCTGCTGCTACTACTGCTGCTACTACTATTGCTGCTACTACTGCTGCTGCTACTACTGCTGCTACTACTGTTGCTGCTCCTGTTGCTACTACTGCTGCTACTACTACTGCTGCTCCTGTTGCTACTACTGCTGCTGCTGCTCCTGCTACTGCTACTCCTGTTGCTACTACTGCTGCTTCTGCTCCTGCTACTACTACTGCTGCTCCTGTTGCTACTGATCTAGTTTGTTGTCCTCTCCCCACACCTCCGATTAGCACGGTTGGCTACGCACGGTGCGAAAGAAGTTCAACGCACGCGGGTTGATATTGCTGCTGCTGCTTCTGCGGCTGCTACTTTTAGTGCTCCTTCGACTGTTGCTGTTGACGCTCCTGCTGCGTCCGCTGCTGCTTCTGCTGTTACCGCTTCTTCTTCTTCTACTGTTGATACTGCTGCTATTGCTGCGTATTTTGCTGCTGGTGGTTCTTACTGCTGCTGCTCCTGCGTCTTCTGCTGCTGCTGCTGCGTCTTCTGCTGCTGCTGGTTCTTACTGCTTGCTGCTACGTCTTCTGTTGCTGCTGGTTCTTACTGCTGCTGCTCTTGCGTCTTCTGCTGCTGCTGCTGCGTCTTCTGCTGCTGGTTCTTACTGCTGCTGCGTCTTCTTCTGCTGCTGCTGGTTCTTACTGCTGTTGCGTCTTCTGTTGCTGCTGGTTCTTACTGCTGCTGCTCCTGCGTCTTCTGCTGCTGCTGCTGCTACGTCTTCTGCTGCTGCTGGTGGTTCTTACTGCTGCTGCTCTTGCGTCTTCTGCTGCTGCTGCGTCTTCTGCTGCTGGTTCTTACTGCTGCTGCGTCTTCTTCTGCTGCTGCTGGTTCTTACTGCTGCTGCTACGTCTTCTGCTGCTGGTTCTTACTGCTGCTGCGTCTTCTGCTGCTGCTGCTGGTTCTTACTGCTGCTGCTACGTCTTCTGCTGCTGCTGGTTCTTACTGCTGCTGCTCCTGCGTCTTCTGCTGCTGCTGGTTCTTACTGCTTGCTGCTGCTGCGCTCGATGTCCCGACGCAACAAGAGACTCGAGAGCACGGACACCCCTCCGTGTAGCGCCCTGCGTCACGGACAACACGAGGGTGATCGCCTCCCCCTTCCTCACTCGCCGCTGCATCTGTCTGGAAGGGAGGCGACACGACGCGCCCGCCCATGCCACCGCGTTCTCGCGGGGGGCCACGGGGCCACGGGCCCATGGGGCCACGGGGCCACACGCGCTCTGCTCATGAGACACCGAACCGGTAAACAAAACACCGGTTCCTAGGGGGATTTGCTTTGTGTCGGACCACGTGATCCTCGAACAGTGCGGCGATAAAGAAGGCCACGTGTTAAATTTCGATTTAAAGCTTTCGTGACTGCAAGGATTCATCTTCTACCCTAGGCCACGTGTTGCTGATGGGACGCGTCGCGAATGTTGCTCGTTTGGGTTATTACGCGGGAGAGATATGAACGTGGGAAGGAGTCGGATTGCCAGGCCATGTTGGTAATGAACAACCATACTTCACCACTCTGGTCAATGCGGGGAAGAGGGGCAGTACCTGATTTCTTCGTCTCATTATTATTATTAAAGTGAAATTGTGTTGTTGAGGTCCATGGCTGTTTCCGTGTGTGGTGGTCTGGAATACATCGCGCGCCGCACCAGGGCACTCACGCAGGCAATAAAACACGCGGTGGGGGGGGGGAGCGAGAAATTCTCGTGAAGTTTTAGGAGGTTAAAAAAAATCCTGCGGCGAGCTGCCCGGGTGGTGCAGGGTGGTGCAGGGTGGTCCCAGGGTGGTGCAGGGTGGTGCAGGGTGGTGCCAGGGTGGTGCAGGGTGGTGCAGGGTGGTCCCAGGGTGGTGCAGGGTGGTGCAGGGTGGTGCAGGGTGGTCCCAGGGTGGTGCAGGGTGGTGCAGGGTGGTGCAGGGTGGTGCAGGGTGGTGCAGGGTGGTCCCAGGGTGGTGCAGGGTGGTGCAGGGTGGTGCAGGGTGGTCCCAGGGTGGTGCAGGGTGGTGCAGGGTGGTGCAGGGTGGTGCAGGGTGGTGCAGGGTGGTCCCAGGGTGGTGCAGGGTGGTGCAGGGTGGTGCAGGGTGGTCCCAGGGTGGTGCAGGGTGGTGCAGGGTGGTGCAGGGTGGTGCAGGGTGGTCCCAGGGTGGTCCCAGGGTGGTGCAGGGTGGTGCAGGGTGGTCCCAGGGTGGTGCAGGGTGGTGCAGGGTGGTCCCAGGGTGGTGCAGGGTGGTGCAGGGTGGTGCAGGGTGGTCCCAGGGTGGTGCAGGGTGGTGCAGGGTGGTGCAGGGTGGTCCCAGGGTGGTGCAGGGTGGTCCCAGGGTGGTGCAGGGTGGTGCCAGGGTGGTGCAGGGTGGTGCAGGGTGGTGCCAGGGTGGTGCAGGGTGGTGCCAGGGTGGTGCAGGGTGGTGCCAGGGTGGTGCCAGGGTGGTGCAGGGTGGTGCAGGGTGGTGCAGGGTGGTGCCAGGGTGGTGCCAGGGTGGTGCAGGGTGGTGCAGAGTGGTGCAGGGTGGTGCAGGGCGGTGCAGGGTGGTGCCAGGATGGTGCAGGGTGGTGCCAGGGTGGTACAGGGTGGTGCCAGGGTGCTGCAGGGTGGTGCAGGGTGGTGCAGGGTGGTGCCAGGCGCCCTGTGTGGTGAACACGAGAGACTGGCGCCTTCAGAAGAGCCGCGGGGGGATGCCGAGGCCCCTGGCAGCAGAGGAGACTCCCAGGGCGCGTGGACGGCTGCGTTGGGGCTGAGCGGAGGAACGCGCAGCCGGTCACCCCCCTCTACCCCAGATGACTCCCCCAGATCACCCCCCCCAAGATCACCCCTTCCCCCTAGATCATCCCTCCCCCCCAGATCACCCCCCCCCTCCCAGATCACCCCCCTAGATCACCCCCCCCAGATCACCCCCCTAGATCACCCCTCCCCCCTAGATCACCCCCTCAGATCACCCCCTAGATCACCCCTCCCCCCTAGATCACCCCTCCCCCTTAGATCACCCCCCTAGATCACTCCTCCCCCCTAGATCACCCCTCCCCCCTAGATCACCCCTCCCCCCTAGATCACCCCCCTAGATCACCCCCCTAGATCACCCCTCCCCCCTAGATCACCCCTCCCCCCTAGATCACCCCTCCCCCCTAGATCACCCCTCCCCCAAGGTGGGTGTGGGGGTGCCTGGCCGGGTGCTCTGATGCCGCTGGAAGGAAGCTCCATTTAGAGGTCGCAATGACGCGAAGCATTCGGCTGGTGGCCGTGGTTGTGACGGCGGTGGTGACGGTCTCTGCACAGGCCTGCAGAGGCGTGGTTGAGCTGTGGGGGCCTGTGGTGACCACCCCCACCCCCCTCCCCCCCTTCCGTACGAGCCACCAGCCAGCTCAGGGCAACCTGCGCCTCTTTAAGTCTAGTTCACCATGGGAGTCCAGTTTACCATTGAAGTTCAGTTTACCATGGGAGTCCAGTTCACCATGGGAGTCCAGTTTACCATGGAAGTCCAGTTCACCATGGGAGTCCAGTTTACCATGGGAGTCCAGTTTACCACGGGAGTCCAGTTTACCATGGGAGTCCAGTTCACCATGGAAGTCCAGTTCACCATGGGAGTCCAGTTCACCATGGAAGTCCAGTTTACCACGGGAGTCCAGTTTACCATGGGAGTCCAGTTCACCATGGAAGTCCAGTTTACCATGGGAGTCCAGTTCACCATGGGGGTCCAGTTCACCATGGAAGTCCAGTTCACCATGGAAGTCCAGTTCACCATGGGAGTCCAGTTCACCATGGAAGTCCAGTTCACCATGGAAGTCCAGTTCACCATGGGAGTCCAGTTCACCATGGAAGTCCAGTTTACCATGGGGGTCCAGTTCACCATGGGAGTCCAGTTTACCATGGAAGTCCAGTTCACTGTGGGAGTCCAGTTCACCATGGGGGTCCAGTTCACCATGGGGGTCCAGTTCACCATGGGGGTCCAGTTCACCATGGGAGTCTAGTTCACCATGGGAGTCCAGTTTACCATGGGAGTCCAGTTCACCATGGAAGTCCAGTTCACTGTGGGAGTCCAGTTCACCATGGGGGTCCAGTTCACCATGGGGGTCCAGTTCACCATGGGAGTCCAGAACACCATGGAAATCCAGTTCACCATGGGGGTCCAGTTCACCATGGGGGTCCAGTTCACCATGGGAGTCCAGTTCACCATGGAAGTCCAGTTTACCACGGGAGTCCAGTTTACCATGGGAGTCCAGTTCACCATGGGGGTCCAGTTCACCATGGGGGTCCAGTTCACCATAGGCAGGGGTCGGCAACCTGCGGCTCCGGAGCCACATGCGGTGGCTCTTTAGGAACTGCCCCGTGACGTTGTGATAAAGGGATGACGTTGTGTGTTAAAGTGATGTCGTTGTGTGTTAAAGGGATGACGTTGTGTTAAAGTGATGTCGTTGTGTGTTAAAGGGATGACGTTGTGTGTTAAAGTGATGTCGTTGTGTGTTAAAGTGATGTCG